GTCGTGTCAATGCAAAAATCAGTAGATAATAGACTATAGGAGCATGGTAGTCGCATAGGTTAGCAATGTAGAAGAGAAGTAGCATACAAAAGATCCAGTGTAAAAGACCTTAGAAAAGTTTTAGTGGAAAATCAGAATTGCTTAAAAAGAATTTCGAGACTCAGTTGAGAAACAAGTTCAGAACCTCAAAATAGTTAGGGTTTCTGAAATCAGACAGCTTTAAAGATGAAGAACAAACATATCACATAGCCAATGTTCTCAAACTCGGATGAACCCCTAAATTTTAGGGTTTTACCATCAATCGAGTGCCGAGATGAGAGGGAAAGTAATCAAGAAAGCAAAAGATACTAGTCGAAACAAGTTCAAAGGTCTCATAAAGGACTGGGACCTTCGACATGCTTTTTTCAATAACAGAAACTTATGAGAAACAAGGTAAAAGAGTAACATGCGACCCATAGTAGAAGAACTGGTAGAAGAAACAAATAAGAACATGGTAGGAGAAATTTTAACAAGAGCACAGTAGGAGCAATATAATTAAAAAAAACATGGTAGAAGAGGTTTGAAAAGAACATAGTAGAAAAACACACAAGAGAAGAAGAAAATGAGAGAAACACACAAGAAAATCAGAGAAGCATAACTCAAAACCCTAAATCGGAGAACAAAGGTTTTGAAAGTATAACTTTTGAAAAAAATATCAGAAAATTGTTTAAAAGCTTAGGGAAAGCATAGATCCAGAACAGATCTAAAGAGATCAGAAAAACCTCAAAGCTAGGGTTTTCAGAGGAACTCAAACGGTGAGAAAGGCTTGGATCTAAACAGGAGGAGTTGAGGCCAGGCTTGAACAGACACGGCTTGCCGGAGCAAGGTCGGAGATGGCCGCGGAACTTGAATCGACAAAAGTATGGACCCAACTCTTTGTGGTCGAGTCATGAAACTTCAGTAACCTAACGTGAGGAGCCATATGTGGCTTGGTGGGTAGTGAAACCACCATAGATTCAGGTCAGAAGGTGACCGGAGAAGATGAAGGGGACTCATCGGAAAGGAGGGGAAGGGGGGAAGGTTCTAGAGAGAACCAGAGGTTAGAGGGATAGAGACGAGTGAGGCAAATGAGGGGTTTGGGGGGGTCGTTTGGCTTATTTAGGTAAGCATAGATCTGGACCGTTGATAAAAAATGATCAACGGCCAGGATTTGATCCGAGCTGGGTCGGGTAGATTTAGGATTGGGTATTGGGTTGGTTCAATTTGGGCTGGGTATAATTAAGCCAAATGAAGAGACCAAATGTGGCTATAAGTTAAATAGCCAATTTTTTCCCTATTTATTTTATAAAAATAGCAAATTAAGTTCTGAAAATAAATTGAAAGTACTAAAAATGATTTATAACATATATAAATATTAAATTAAAATAATGGAATCAATTTTATAAGTATAAAATGCAATTAAATCTTAAAATAGGCTAATGTTGTAATTATATGCAAATTAGCTTAAAAATACTAAATAGATTTGTAAAAATATACAAAAATTATGTTAGCTACATTTTAGTATAAATATAAAATTCCAATAACTAAATTACCAAAAATAATAGTAATAATTTCGAAAATAATCATTGGGCTTTTACGGATGAAAAAAGGGAAATAAATCAGTTTAAAATCTTAAAAATTATGGGAAAAATAATAAAATGCTTGACATACTTATACATGCATATATATGCTATTTTGAAGATATTCTGCATATAAAAAAAATAGACAGGGAAAAATTGGGTATCAACACTCATTAGCCTAAACCCATTTGTCATAGGCCTTAACCTGATCATCAGTAGCATTTTCAGATTATTCTAGGCACTCCTCAGTAATTACATATTTGTAACCTTCAGCAGTTAGGACAATATCAAGGTTCCTTTTCCAGTCAACACAATTCGGTCCTTCTGATTTGTTTTGGTTCATAATTAAGGTAAGTGGGTTGAATGAAGACATGGTTGATTGTCGCGACCCAATTCCTGCCCGGTCGTGATGGCGCCTCTCGTGAAGACAAGGCCAGCCACCAGAACAATCAAGACTGCTTTTGACAATTTCTTAGCATAACAGGTTTAAACCATAGATACTAATTTATCATAAGTACGGAAATAAACGTAACATAACGGGGGAAAACCATCCCAACTCAGCCCGATGATCGGGGTGTCACAAGTCACGAGCTACTACAGAGTTTATGAAAATACTACAAGTCTGGAAACATAGTCTGAAGATGAATAAAATATACAGAAGATAAGGAAGAACGGGGCTGTAGACGTCGACAGCTACCTCGTCTCTCCTAGTCCGCCTGGTCTGGAAGGAAATCAGCGCTTAGGTACGAACTCAGCTGTGCCTGTCTCAGCACACATGGTGCAAGAAGTAATGTGAGTACTCCGACCCAGTGAGTAATAAAATTAAATAACGACTGAGAACATAAAATCCCACAAGGACACAAATAATGCTATCTCAAGCAGCAACATCAGATAAACAGCAGAAACCAGTGAAATATAGGAAGAAAATCTCTTTGAAAACAATTAATAAAACAAGTATGCTCAAGTATGGTCAGCCATTGTTACCTGACCGGTCAGCCATTGTTACCTGACCAAACAGCCAGTATTACGTGCCATTGTTACCACTGGTCAGTCATTGTTACCTGACCAAACGCGTATAACAGTGTCATTGTTACCACTGTTCAATATTTAATCACTCTAGATGGGTACCCGCGCTCACTGTGGGTGTGCAGACTCCGGAGGGGCCCCTACAGCCCAAGCGCTACCAACAAGGCCTGAAAGCCTGAACAATATCAATACGAGGCCTAAAAGCCTGCTCACAATACACTCGAGGCCTGAAAGCCTCCTCACAATGCACTCGAGGCCTGAAAGCCTCTTCACACATATCCTCACATATGGCCCTCGGCCTCNATTTTAGAAGGGATTCTGAATTAATCACAAGTTTGAAAAACCACTTTAAAGGGAAGTTCCTCATATATAAGGAGCATACGAACATGTTAAGCATGAAAGAAAATTGTCATGTCATCAATAGAAAATCCAGTGTAGAAGAGTTTAGTAAAAAATCCAGAATCATATGCAAACACGGATGTCCAAACTCGAAGTTGGTCTGAAAGAGTTAGGGGTTCTAAAATAAAAACCCTAGTTCAAGCAAATCACGAAGCTAAGATGAGAGGGCAAGCAATTGAATCGAAAACATGTTTAGGAGTTTCAGAAAAGAACTGAAACTTCTAACATGCTTCTTTCAGCAACAGAACTCATGAGAAACATGATAGCAAAGTAACATGCAAACACAGTAGAATGGTTCGAAGCAAACAGAGTAGAAGAAACTAATTCGAAGCATAATGAGAAAAGACTGTTAAGAACAGTAGGAAAGCATGCTTAACAGGATCTTTTTAGAAGAAACTTAAACAAGGTTCAGTAGAAGGAAAATAGTAAAACATTAAGAACACAGTAAAAAAATATAGTAGGCAAAACATACCAGAACATGGTAGAAGAAAATACTAGAACATAGTAGAAAAGCATACGAGAACACAGTAGAAGAACATACAAGAACGTCATAGAAGAGAAACATAGCAGCACAGTAGAAAAGCATACGAGACCATAATATAGGAGAACACAGTAAGAGAAGCATATAAGAAATATGGTAAAAGAGAATACAAGAGCAACGCAGCGGCAAATACACACGAAAGAAAAGAAAGCCAGAAAACACTTGAACATTTTCAGAAAACCCTAAATCACAAAAGAAAGGTTTTGAAAGTAATTTTTGAAGAAAAGTTAGGGAAATCGTCTGAAAGCTCAGGGAAAGCGTAGATACACAACGGATCTAAAGAAATCGGAGAAAACCTCGAAGGGTTAGGGTTTCAGAAGAACCCTAGAGATGAGAAAGGCTTTGAAAGGTCACCGATCTAAGTCGGAGAGGTCAGAATCAGGCTTAAACAATCATGGTGCGCCAGAGCAAGGCCGGAGATGACCGTGGAACTCCGAATCGACAGAGGTCTGGGTATGAACCTTCAAGTCCAGGCCTTGAATCTTCAAGGACCAGGCATGTAGAAGCAATAGGAGGCCGGTGTAGGACTCTCGTAGCCTTGGAGGCCATAGATTCCGGTGGATTTCAAGGCGGAGATGGTAAGAGGCGGATAGGGTTTGAGAATATTCGAGAGAGTTTGAGAGAATGGAGGGTTTCAGAGGCGGCGGGCTGGTGAAAATGATTAGGGTTAAGGGGAGGTTGGTAAATTAAAAAAGGAAAGAATGAAGCGTGGTCGTTGATCATTTTGATCAACGGCCTGGATTAAACGGGAAGCAGGGCGGGTTGTATTTAATTGGGTCAGGGGCGGGTAATTTAAGAATAGGGTCGGGCAATTTGGGATTGAAATTGGGTTTAATTGGGGGGCTGATTTAGGCTAAAATTGAAATAAGTAGGGCTAGTGTTTAAATAGCCACTTTTCCCCTATTTATTTTATAAAAAATAGTAAAATATTTTCTGGAAACAAATTAAAGATACTAAATTAATTAATAATATATAATATTAGATTAAAAATACCGGACTCAATTTTGTAAGTATAAAATGCAATTAAATCTTAAAATAGGCTAATATTGCAATTATATGCAATTTAGCTTTAAAATACCAAATAAATTTATAAAATATACAAAAATTATGTTAGCTACATTTTAGCATAAATATAAAATTCTAATAAATAAACTACCAAAAATAATAATTATGAAAATAATCATTGGGTTTCTATAGATGAAAAAGGGAAATAAATCATTTTAAAACCTTAAAATTATGGGGGAAAATAGTAAAAATGCTAGGATATACTTATATATGCGTATATATGCTATTTTAAAGATATTTCGCATATAAAAAATATACAAGGAAAAATTGGGTATCAACATTAAGTAAAGAGGCAACTTTGAAAATATATGCCAAATATAATACCTATGTATTGTATTTGGCATCACTTCAACAATGGCTACCTTAATGCTCTAACACTGATCAGTTATGATCGCATCTGGATGGACATTTCCCATGGCCTCAAGCCAAGTTCTAAAAACTAATTTGTAACTATCGATATCTTCATGAGACATGAGAGCACATCCCAGTAAGATGGACTGTCTATGATGATTGATGCCAACAAATGTAGCACATGGCATATTATATCGATTCACAAGGTACATCGTATCAAAGCATATCGCATCATGGAATTGCTCATATACTGCCTTACAGTGTGAATGCACCCATACCACATTTCGCAGTCTACCAATATTATCAACGTCTATTGAATAGAAAAAATCCCTATCCTTTACCTGCATTTCACGAAAAAAGTTGAGCAGCAACTGTGCGTCCCCTTCTTGCATTTCAGAATTTCTACTCTTTAAAATAAAGTTTCTACAATACTTTGGAGTGCAACCCAAATTTTGCGGTCCACTACGTTGAACCTCAGCAAGTCTAATATTCTTGGAGGGTCTAATGCCAGATCGATTGTGAGCTACGATATCCTTCTTCAAACAACCACAAACGGACCTATGTCCAGCCATCAGGCGCGATATGGATGGGAGCAAATCATGATTGTGATCGTGAACGACCTTAGAGACGCGCCAACAACCAAAATCATCCAAAACAACAGCGAGCCTAGCTTTACAATTGTTACTCTTGGTGGTAAACTTGGTTTTGCGAATCCTAGCCCTATCACAACAGTAAGTTATGTTCCTGGCAGTGTCACCACCCTTCTTGTTGGAATTTCTTTTGACGACGGAGAATCCTTTCATTCGTGCATGTTCTTTGTAGAATGCAAACAAAGAATCTTTATCTCTAAATCGCATTCCAGAGATTGGACCTACAACCACATCCTCTTCAGTATTCATTCTCCATTTCCCGATCAACATCACATAACTCTAACTCATTTCCTAAAACCTGCTCCTCATCATCGTTAGCTTCTCCATGATATTCTCCATCGGCTTCTTCACATCATCATCATCTAAGCGCACATCATTGTTGTAACTGCCGTGAGAATCAACATCGACCCATTCGTATTCATTCAACAAACTATCGTCCGATGTCATCCCTAATGACCTGTACAACTCGTCCCTAACTCGATCAAACCTATTATCTTGGTTGATATTCATGGTTGTTGTATTTGTGTTATGTTCATTTGGATTCATATTTTGTTGCACCGCCAAATTTTCTTGGTTTGAATCCATTTTTAGAGAAGGAGAAAGTATCCGCTTGACTTGGTTTGATAAGGAGGAAGTACGCAAAATCGTATAACGTATTTGTTTTTAAGAAAGGAAGAAAATACAATAATTTTTTAAAAACACTAAATCGTATAATTTGTATAAAATACACATAGATACAATGAAAATACAAATATAATGCAAAAGACTCTTGAGCTGGCTACATTTAATTTTCGCATACTTCAAGGCTTGGGATTTAATTTTGTGTTTTGGAGGGAAAAATGTAGGCTAATTAGTTAGGTGGTCTTTGATGTCTTTTCACACGTGTGGCCAAAGTTGTGTCACAACAGTTGGGTCGTTTAGCATCACCCTTAAATTTTTTAGTTTAAATTTTCAGGGCAATTGTCCCAAAATTTTTTAGAACAAAATAAATACTTGTTAATCCCTAAATATCAGTCCTTAGCATGATTGTTTGTGTACTTCTCGTTTAGTTGTAGTTGGGGAACTCATCATTTTGCTTCTGGTTATGTAGTTCAATTGATAGGATTAAGGGACTTAAAAGGAAAAAATAATTAAGAGGATGTTTGGATTGGCTTTCAAGCTAGTCAGATCAGCTTTTAAATTCTTTTTAGTTTTTTCGGTGTTTAACAAATTCAAAAAGTACTTAAAATACGTTTAAAACTGCTTAAAACAAGTCAAAAGCATTAAGCTAGGCAATTCTAATTTATTACTTTTTGACTTAAAAACTATTTTTGATGAAAACCACTTTTTTTTTAAGTCAATCTAAATGGGCTCTAAATCAGGTAAGATAATCCAAATGTATATACGAACATATACGGCGAGAATGACTTAAAATCTTTTGTAGTGCTTGCAATCGGTTTAACAAACAAGGAAACAAAATATCTTTTACGAATTTCCATGCATTAACAGAGTAAAATATGTACATGAAGGACCGAAGCTTGCAAAATATCTTGAGCTCTACAATTTCGAAATAGAGACAGACTCAACGGACATCATAGCATCCCTTAATGAAAACAACCCTAACTTTTCAAATCTTATTTTTGAATGCAAGTTGTTAATGCACCAGTTGAGGTACCCAATGCTGAAGCATAACTTCAGAGAAGACAACATGGTAGCCCACCTTTTGGCAAAGGAAGGAGTGAAGAACTTCAAAAGGGCTAAATGTGTTCATCATGCTCGTCTTTTTGTTGAACATGAATTGCTAAAGGACAAGCATGTTTCTAGTACTAAGTTTAAATATGTTACTTCTAGTGTGTGTGAAAAACTAGTCAAGTATGGCAATGAAAATGTCTTACGGGACTATGTAAGACCTATGTAATGTTTTATTGATAATATATTATCGTCGTTTATGTTTCAAAAAAAAAGAGTAAAATATGAAAAAGTTATTTGTTTGATTCGAATTCAGATTTGTATTGGACTATTTTCCATAATTCATATTTCATTTTTAGGTAGCATAGAGTCCTAGTTAAGTGACATATTACGATTCCTATTTCCAAAACTTTATTTTATGCTCTCAGTCAACCAATTTAAGATGAATGCAAATTGCAAGTTGTATATAATTATTTTTCAAAGGAAATTAAATGGGTAATATAATAATGCATCTAAACTGATTATATGACCAGGTTCAGTTTAATGTCTTACCTATATAAACAAATGTCTAATGTCTTATAGATACGAGGAACAGGACAATTGAGCAATGGCTTCTAATGAAGAGGATATCAGCAAGTCAACCAACCCAGCACTGGATCCGGATCTGGACAACCCGGATCATCCGGGTCTGGAGTTTGCCCAGTTCGCAGCAGGCTGCTTCTGGGGAGTGGAATTGGCATTCCAGAGGGTTGAAGGAGTAGTGAAGACGGAGGTAGGCTACTCTCAGGGCCATGTCCACGACCCAAGTTACAAGCTCGTTTGCTCCGGAACCACCGAACATGCAGAGGTGATTCGGATCCAGTTGGACCCGAATGTCTGCCCATATACCAATCTGCTTTCTCTCTTTTGGAGTCGCATTGACCCCACCACTCTAAATCGCCAGGTATCAAATTCCTTCATCTCAATTTTTTTAAGTCCTATTTTTGTCTTTTTGTTTTAATTCCTCGAAATTTTTGTTCCAATTATTTATGGTACTTGGTAATCATAATAAATAATGTTACTGTGTTTTTACTACGAAGAGAATATACAATTTAGGTAACTTTGCATGATCCTACCTTAGCTGCAATGTTGTAGTTTGCTCCGAATCTAATTTCACTATGTGCCTAGTTATTTAGTTCGACGTTATGCATTCATTTTGCTAACGTAGATAAGAAGTTAATTCATCATCATCATTCTTTTTATAGATCAAAACAAGTAAAATACTGAGTTGAACTAATCCAATTTAGCTTCAAACTTTAGTTAAATTGACTCTTGATAAGTGAAATGTGTCATCAAAATTGAACAGAGGAAGTATTGTGTTTTGGGAAGCTTTTCTTGATTGAAAAAATAAGGAATAGTTAATAAAGCTAAGGAAGGTTTTTGCTGGGAAATTAGCAGAAACGAGTACTGATCACATATAGTAACTAAAATATTTTTAAGTTTCTTCCTTCTTCTTCCTCTGTTTTATATTTCCTTGTGGGATCAGATATAGAAAGGATTTCCACATGGCAGACTTAATTATTGAACTCTCATGATTATCTTAGGATCTATCACAGGGGTATTATTGCTGGTTGTTTTCTTCTACCCTCGACCCGCTGTCTATTTTTAATTGCCTTACTTAATACAGTCACACCTCTTTATAATAACATCCCTGTACAATAGCCATTCACTATAAAAGCCGAGTTTTTCTCGGAACCAAATATTATATTATGTTATAATTTATGTCCTCTATAACAACACTTCACTATACGAGCCAAAAAATTTCGGAACAAATGAGGCTGTTATAGAGAGGTTTGACTGTATATGTTTTTGTATTCTTGAGTGTGATTTTTGCCTCTAGCTAGAGTTTAACATTCACAAAGAGCAATATATAGATCTCATGATGATGGTTGTTGCTAGGGTAATGATGTGGGGAATCAATACCGCTCAGGAATATACTACTATAATGAGGCTCAGGCTCAACTCGCAAGGGAATCGTTGGAAGCTAAGCAGAAGGAATTTGCGGATAAGAAGATTGTAACAGAAATTCTTCCTGCAAAGAGATTTTATAGAGCTGAAGAGTATCACCAACAATATTTAGAAAAGGGTGGTGGCAGAGGTGCCAAGCAGTCTGCTGCAAAGGGCTGCAATGACCCAATAAGGTGCTACGGTTGACATAGTTGGTCTTTGTAGCAAGCACGTACGAAGAATTTGATGGGCCTTTGTCTTTGCTTATTCCTACTCTTAAATAAATATGTCAATGGTTCTTGATTTTTCTTACAAGTACTTTGTCTTTTGAATGGAAACTATTGTCCTCTTGGTCTTTATCTCTCCTCATCTTATGCCTTAACTAGTTGAAGTCCTAAGTGAGGATGCTTGTGCTTGAAAGCAATATCAAGCATAGTAATACCAATCCTTTGGTCCTCTTGTTGGATTAAAACAACTACACGCCCAGTTATTCCAATACCAAACTGTTTATTTTGAAGAACGCTTGTTGCAGGAAAGGAAATGTTCATTAAATCATATTCCAATGCAGTTTACAGAACATTATAAAGTTACACCATGAAACTAAATGCATCTTATGTTACACATTCTTATGAGTAGTTGCCTATTACTTGCACAGAAACTAAAACAGACACTAAATGAGGCTGAATGGATAATATGTAACTTAGAGTTCATCCTTAGGTTCTGTTGCAGGAGATCCTGTGGGGTTGCTTGATGAAGTCTTGATGGGGTAAGATGGTTGCATTGCTATACCACACAACCCCTCTTCAGCATCAATCTCGCGTTGCATCCTAATGTATCCTTTTTCTCCCCATTCAGGTCCCCACGAGTTCTTCACAATCCAGTATTTGGTTCCATCGAGGGTTGTGCCATAGCCCACAATTGCCACACCATGGTCCAGCTCTGTACCACAATCTCCGGTGAATACACCCTGCCATATTTACAGTTCCGTAAATGTTTGTAACTAGTAAAAACTTTTTAACATGAGATGAATGGTCTATCATTTACCTCAGAGTAGAACTGGAAATCAGAACCTGAAGCTTGTATAGCTACAGAAACAGGCTGGTTGGCTACTGCTTTAAGTAGGGAACCCTCATCATTAGGAGGAACATCTTCATGTCCGTCAATTGATACCACGGGAGAATTTCTCTGCCAATTCGATAAAATTCATGCTCGTGTATTAGGTACAAGACTGATAAGAGATCCTACTGATGTAACCATCTATCAGTTAATAATCACAGAGCCTTACCTTTTGAATGTCACACTCGCCATCTTCAGCCATGTATGGATAGTTGTCCTCAGTATTGATGCCTCCCTTTTTCTTGATGAATTCAAATGCGTTGTCCATCAACCCTCCATTGCATCCTTGGTTTTGGCTAGTGTCACAGTCAACAAGTTCTTGTTCAGATAAAGATACTAACTCATTTGTTTTGATTTGGTTTATCCCCTCTACTGCGACCACAGTTGAAAATGCCCAGCAACTTCCTATAACATGCAAGAGATCGATCAGTTTCCATCATCAGCTTTAATATTTCAAAAGAATATCATATTGTTTACCC